AATAAACTTTTATTTTTTTCTAAGTAAGAATGTGAACATTGTATTTTTTCTATTTAAGCAATTATTGAATGGCAATAATGGCATAGCAAATGGCAATCAAAATTGAAATAGGGAAATTTTCTTTTTTTTAAGGCAAAACCCTATGTTAAGCGTTTAAATTTACTATAAATTTTTTATTAATTTCCTAAACTTTTATTAAAACCAATAAACCCCAAACTTAGTAATCTAGATAATTTAACATTCTTTTTTTTTTTTATGACGGATTTAATATTTATTTGTGTTTTGCTTGCATTGAGAAAGTATTAACGTACATGTTATTACTTACATGGCATGTATTGATATTGTTTACATAATTAAGGTACAAACCCGCATTAACTCTACCAAATAGAAAAAGATTAAATTGTCCAAATCATCAAATCCAGGGGTTTATTTACTTTCATAAAAATTTAAGGGCTTAATTAAGACTTTGGGGTAAGTTCAAGAGCTTAACATAGGTTTTGCCTAGTTTTTAAATAGAAAAAAAATAATAGTTTATTGCCTAACTTAGAAACCTAAAAACTTCATACTTTAAATAGAAAAAATAAAAAAGTTTGTACCCTTTATGGTGGTCTTAATTACAAAGCTTTGTGGCCCATTGGTGGCTACTGCATTCCAAAAGAATTACCAGTGAATTGCACCCCGACCAATAGTGGAATTTTGTCAAAGAGCAAGATACTAACTTCTAACTCCTAACCCCTAACTCCTAACTCCTAACCATTATTCTTGTCAAAAAAAAAAAAAAAATTACAAAGTTTGTAACCCTCTTTTTTTTACAATAGACTTAATTTTTACGGTAGATTTAATGCTCGTTTGTGTTTTACTTGTATAAATAAGATATCAACATGTCATGATTTACATGATAAGTATTAATTTTGTTCATGCAAGTGAAATATAAAATGAACATTAAGTCTATCATACAAAAAAGTTAAATTATTCAACTTGTTAAGTTTGTGAGTTTATTCGTTTTAATAAAAATTTAAGAGTTTAATAAAAAATTTAAGTTAAGTTTAGAGACTTAACATAATATTTTGCCAATTTATCGCTAACTTAAAATTTTAAAAAGTTCATACTTTAAATAAATTATTTTTAAAAATAAGATAAAATCTGTATTTTTATTTAGGTTAAACCCCCTTTTTGGTCCCTCAACTATTGTACGGACCCTCGATTAAGTCCCTCAACTCAAAAAATCCCTGACTTGGTCCCTACCGTTTACCATTTTTACCCCAATTTGGTCCTTCCGTTAAAAATCCCTCCACGTGTATTGTTAATTCATGGTAAGATGATGACATGTCAAAATTTTAATCTACGTGGAAGACAACATGGCAAAAGCTAGTGACATGGCAATAAAAATTTAAAAAATTCTTTCTCCTTCCTCTTCATTTCCTGAACCCAGAGCCTGGGATCGTCGAACCCGTCACCATGGGTTCCTTCAAACCCAACTCAGCGTTCCTCATTCCCTTTCTCCTTCCTCTTCATTTCCTTCTTCATCAATCAATTCATCATCATCATCATCATCAAACAAAACCCACAAAACCACAATTTATTTATTTACTTTTTGTTGAAGAACCCAGTGCCCTAGGTTCAATCAAACTCGGTGCTGGGTTCGCTCTTCCTTTCCTTCTTCATCAATCAATTCATCATCGTCATCATCAAACAACACCCACAAAAACACAGAAATTATTTATTTATTTTTTTGTTGAAGAACCCAGTGCCATCGAACCCAGCACTGGGTTTGAAGGAACCTAGAGCTTGGGATCGTCGAACCCAAGCGATGGGTTCCTTCGAACCTAGCTGGGTTCGTCCTACCCAACGCATGGGTTCGTCGAACCCAGGCACCCAGATCGCCTGGGTTCGTCGCTTGGGCTTGGGTTCGTCGAACCTAGGTCCAAACGACGAACCCAGGCGACAATCTGGGTTCACCTAGGTTCGTCGAACCCAAGCCCAGGCGACGAACCCAGGCGATCTGGGTGCCTGGATTCGACGAACCCAGCTGGGTTCCTTGGAACCTAGAGCTTGGGTTCGTCGAACCTAGCGCTA